AGAGTGTTGCTTTTTTTTTTCTTTTTCATCCTGAGTGTACCTGAGTGATGTGAGAAAAATGAAAGAGAAGCACCATCAAGGTGCACTGATGAAAAGTACTTTCTGTTCACCCGGTGTTCTTTCATTTCACTCATATTCTCACACATGTGGTCTCTCACACTGGTACCATTCCCTCCCTCGTCTTGTCTCACCTGCTGTGCACAAGTGCACGTTATCAGGGTGAATGACGTGAACTGAATCGTTGCCCCATTTTAATGACAGAAACCTGACTTCATATCAGCCCGCTGGGATTCACGACGACATTTAAATCATGAAACTGCTAATCTGAGATTATTATGTTACTGAATATTCAATTTTTCTCGCACATGATTATGGAGGAATCTGAGATTATTATGTTACTGAATATTAAATTTTTCTTGCACATGATTATGGAGCACACCACAAAGATGATTCATTTGTAGCTCATTACACAGGGTTTAAAGTCACCTTAATAATTCATGTAGATACAGGCTGTAAATGCCTTCAAGAGTTTCAGTGCACGAGTACAAGGTGAGGTCCCTGTCCATTATCTCCTAGAATGGAGGGGATTTTAAAGAGTCATCAGCTTCCCTCACTTGCCTGGAGTTACATCTTAATCAGTGCAAAATGGAGGTGAAACAGAAGCAGAGCAGCACATGCACAGATAATCTGGCAACAGTTTTAATACGAAAAACAAGAGAACTCATATTAAGAGGTAGTGGCATAAATATTTATAGGATGAATAAAATATTAAGGTGGAAAATGTTGAAGAGGTCGACCGAATTTATATGAACACAATACATAACACTGAAAACTGCTACTGCCTAAAATTTACATGAGTTGTCTCCATTTTAACTGTTGTGCTCATGTACATACAGTATGGAGACGTGGAGTTCAGAGTTAGGTAGAGATCAAACTGACAACCCAATGTTTGCCTTGTCTACTGAACCACAGATGCACCAGTTTCGGTGCTTTTCTGTTCCACATTCTAACCAGGTCAAATATGGTCCATGTGACTGGATTTGGTCCATCTACGTGTGATCTAATGGTCTGGTGGCTCTGCTGCCTCAATTGTCTATACGGTCCAACCTCACATATGGTCTGATGTTTGTTTAATGTTGATTGAATCTGAATTAGCATAAAATAACTTTTAATTTAACAAGTACAGAGGGCCCTCTGTACTTCAGAGAAAGTACAATTTCTGTACTGTGGCACAAATCCATCAAGTTTAATATTTTGAATATTAAACTTGATGGTAATTTGCCTTGCCCTGCACTACCTCTGCCAGCTCGGGGGCCCCACCCCTCACATTGGGAACCAATGTTAATGGTTCTCGTTAACGGAGGATTGCAGGTTTGAATCCCTTTCATGGCTGTGTGGTGTTGAACAAACAACAAAACCTCTTTTGCTTCCCAGGCGTTGTTCAGCACTCCCTTCCCTCCCCAGGGATGCCTTACAGACACAAGACACATTTATTGTTGTGTATATGTGTATGTCCATTGCCAAAGGAAGCAGATTTTTCATCTTAGCGTTAGCTTAGCTGACAGCATAAATGTCAAAGTCAATTCCAAATCCAAATCCGTCTTTTGTTTCTTCCTCTCGAAACCAAGCAAATACAAACAAAACCCCTATCCCTTTTCAGTTACCGTTTTTTTGTGTGTGTGTGTGTGTAACCAGGATTACTTTGTTCCATGTTGGAGTTAGACAGCTTGGCAGATGTGGAACAGCTCCCAATGAGACATGAACGTGTTCAATCCTCACAGATTCTTCACTCCAGAGACCTGCGTATAATGGTTGTCGCCGTGCATTTTTGTCTCAGTCTGGGCATAAATAAACTAAACTAAAACAACTTCCAAGTTGAATAAAAAGTTGTTGTGTAAGTGTAAGGAGTCTGAAGGTTGTAGAATTGAGGGAAACACAGAGATACAGCTGAATACCACAGTTTTATCCACTGGTAGTAAAACTACCCGTCCAAAAATACTTTCAGAACTGCTACCAAAAAAGATACTGCAGGGTCATTGTTACAATGTCCATGTCCGACAGCATGACTACAGCAGTTAGCTAATGAGCAGAATTATAGCAGAGCAGATGGAAAGGCTGTGTTTGTTTAGAGTGTGAGTCTTTATCGCAGCTCTCTGGAGCGTGAGAGAAACTTCTAATCATTTGTGATGGTTTGCCTTCCAAGGAAATGTCAACCATGGAGTGATGGCCAGTAGATACTAGGGTCACTGCAGAAGATAGGATTGACACTGACAACGTACTCATTAAATTTGCTGGCTGACATGGGTATGATAGAGTGAACCTCGGAAAGACAAACTGGTCTTTCAAAGTAATCACAGACTGAGACGGCAGGTCAAACTGCAGGCCTTAGAGTTTCGATTCCCACGACTACTTTTACAGAACATTTCAAAAGTTGCAGTTCCACTGTAATAAGGAAAACTACTAAACCTGGCAAAGGCAATAATATCTTATTACTTTTAAATCCACGGTTAAAGTTTTAAATGCATTAGCAATTTATTACGTTTGACCTTGTTGACATGAAAAATATTTAAATGGCTAAAAGCCCGTCAATATAAAGATGTTAACTGGGATAAAATGTTTTTTTTTAAATAAATGAATTTTACAACATAGACAGAATGAGGTGCACTGCGTATCAAATAGTCATGCAGTCCATCCACTAATAGTTGCTTCAATACAGCGGCGTTGTGACAGCCACTAATAGTTGCTTCAATACAGCGGCATTGCGACCCGGCAGGCAACCCAGGCAATTGCTTGGGGCCCCAAGAGAGGCTGAAGGGCCACTATAGGTGGACTCTAGGCTCATTGTACTGCGCCCAACTACGATTCCCCCCTAAAGTGCAGATGCTAGGGCTAGTGTGAGCGCAAACGCTCCGCGCCAAAGCACAGTAGGGTGTCTATATGTGTGTGTCTTTCTGTCTCCGCTCCACTTAAAACACACACAATTGGCACTTTAGCTTGGCACGGCGCAACTGGCCCTGATATGAGTGCGCCCTATGGTCTCTCTTAAGGATGTCTAGAAACACCTCTACTCTAAAACACAGTCAATACACGTGTTATTTACACAAACTGTAGGAACGATTTCACTTCACACCGAAGCACTTAAAGCACATGTGTTTGTTGGAGCTTCATCTGCAAGACACCCAGCTTGGGTCAGACCATTTTTACTGGGTGGAGGGCTGTAAATACTGTAAGTCTACTACTGACTAGCTGACTAACACAATTGTCAAATAAAATGCGAGATAGTGTAGACTTGATTCATCTTGATTAATTTGAATTGATTATTAATTAATTCTACCATTAAAAATGATTTAAAACATGTGATCGTTTGACTGCCCTAATTTAAAGATTGTAGATTTAATGTTTCTTCCAACTGAAACTCACTTTCTGGCAGTTTAAAACCCACAGTTACCATTTCTTGAGCATCCAGTCAGTTGTCTGTCAAAAGGATGGTCCCCATGGACAGGCACACATGCATCTGTAGACAGTTAGACACGGCAGAAAAGCAGCTGGTTTCAGATTCTGTAAATCATTCAGTCTTAAAATGTGTCTGCTCATACTGTAACTACCCTTTAGTTTGTTTGCTAACAGCAAAATAACTTGTTTGCTTCTGTTTTTTGCTGATATCAGTAAGCTGCTTGTACAGTAACTGAGTCAGTGAGTATGGAAGAGTCTTCTTGTCTCAGGTACTTCAGGTTCTTGTTTGTTTCACTAGAAAGGTCTCCATAACAAACTGTACTGTTCTTTATTTATTTAGTATATTGTTCTCTATTTGTGCTGCATACAGAGCTCCCTGTAAGCATACTTTTCTCTCTATTCCCCCATGTTTAAACTAATATTCAAGCTTCAGATGGAAAGTGACAGTTCTATCTTTTATGCATGGAACATAATTATTCAACTAATAACCGAACCTTTTCTCCCCAACAAAGACACTCCTGCCTGCATAATGAACATTGAAACAAATGGACCAAAGACTCCAAGAGCTCAAAACTATTTGTCTTACACTTAATAA